GTGTCTTCTCTGAGCTAAACAAACCCGCTTCCCTCAACTCTTCCTCACAGGAGAGGTGCTCAGCAACCACATCAGCCATCTCTCTCAGAACCCTTGAATGCATGTCACCTGGCTCCATGGACTTATACACATTCAGTTTCACGAGGAGACATCTTGGACATGTTCCACTGTTACAGTGGGACAGAACCCACTCCTCTCACCCACACCTAGAGGTTCAGCATCCTGGCAGGCATGGGGAACCTGATCATCAGTGAAGAGCTGTAAATGTTTTGATTGCAGGTATGTATATTTTAATGTTAGTAGTTATGATGCAAGAATTGTATAAATGAAGTATGTAGTGAAAACAATAGCACCTACAGTAAAACCCGGCGTACTGAAGTACACAATTTTTAAATAGATCAATTAACTAGAATTTTTAAGACCATTATATTGTATAAATGAAAATGCTTATTTAAAAGCAATCATAATTAGTTACATTAAGCAAGATCGCTTAAAATCAGTTATTCCAGATTATTTACAGTAAGAACAGATAAAAGCATTATGACTTTCTACTGAGACCTAAGAAAGATAGTCATTGTCTTAAAATGAAACATTATCAAGACTAGAGATTTGTTTCAGCTTTACTATAGCACATTACTACTCATATTGCCTGGAGAAAGGTGATTTCAGTGAGAATAGGAACAGCTCAGTCCCAGTAGTATGAGTAGAAATCAATTACTGGCCTGACTATTAATCTTGTTAATGATGTTGCAAACCACATGCATTCTGAAAGTCTTTTAGTCCCTTTAGTCTTTAGGCATTGGTACAGCAAACATCGGATTATTCTGCTTAGAATTTTATCAAGGTAATCCAGGTATCAAAAAACATCCCAAAATATTTTTAAATAAATGTTTAAATAAAATCATATTGCAACTTTTATTTCTACAATTAAGAATTAATATGTACATCTAGTCTATGTTGTTTTGGCTTAGATTTGTGGCTAAGGAATTAAGGTGTTAAAGCAGTACAAGTGGGAGGAAGAAATATTACAGGAGTGATGAATGTTGGCACATTGAATCCTACATCAAATCTTCACGGTTGAGAGCCCCAAGACACAACCAAGTACTTCATAACAAGATACTGCAATGCATCACAAAGGAAAACGATGACAACAGCTTGTCAGCTTTTTTAGCTCTCTAGTGAAGAGCATGAATGCAGTGAGTGAGAGGTAGGGCTCTATAATGCTAGCCCTAGGTGTCTTACAAATCTGAAATCAGAACATGCTGTAGCTTCTGTGTCAACAGAGTTCCACTGCCAGACATGAGAGTCTACCTTCTAGTATGTCAGCAGTTCAAATAATAAGCTATTGCTAAATTTACTGTACAGCAAGAAAAAAAAAAACAAAAAACAAAAAACAAAAATAAGCAACAAAAAGAACAAAACCAACCAGTTTCAACAAACTTCAGTTCACCCATTCAAAAAACACACTAATGTTAACTTATCTAACATAAGTGCTCAGAAAACTACTATAAGATGCTTTCAGATACTCTAATATAGTATCTAATTTGTAAAAGAGAACAGATATGATGATTGAATGTGACAACTTAGCTGTATTTGCTTCTTAGTTGAAAACAGTTTTTACAGGAGGACTGAAACCTCAATCTAGTGCCTACATTTATCACTATAGTATCATATTTAGGTATTATGAATTTCTTGTTGTCTAGGCATCAGACATATTATGCTTTAAAAGAGATGGAAAAAATTTTATTCAGTGTATCCTAGTCTTCTGTAGGAATACAGAGAAAACTGTTGTATTAAGATTAATGCTTATGGAGGCTGGCTTGCATAAAGCATCACAGTGAGATACTTATACATCACTTGGTCAGATACTTAAATGACCCAAGTTCTCTTGACTGGATTCTCAAAATTTCAGGAAAAAAAAAAAAAAAAGGGAGGTATAAGAATATAACTTCTTTATTTCTGCTTCAAAAAAAAAGTCCTTGTTTCCTTTCCTTTGTCTTCTTTCATATACAGCATATAAAATCAACTGTCTAGAAGAAACATTACAAAGGTATACAATAAAAAAACCACAAAAATTATACTTCTGCAGAGGTTTAGCAAGGAAAAAGCTTGATCCTGTTTGGTTTTAGGTTTTGCAAAATCTTCAGTATATCTCTTCTTTTTACTGCTGCAGACAAACAAACTTTAAATTATTATTTCTGAGCTGAGAATAAAAGAGATGATTATAAAAGTACACCATTCACATAAATGAACAGGTAACTCAAGTAACACGTTAGTGCAAGTAACAGAAGCACTGTGGCCCTGTTAGGTTGGTATTTTGCCCAGGCTTGTTCTCAGAACAGTTCACTAAATGGAAACACTATAATAAAGCTACACTGCATTCCTACCCAAACTGGCTAATATTACAGGAAGAAAATACTGAAGCAGTGAAGTACATAGTTCAGTCATCAGATATTACTCTATGGAAGGTAATAAATTGAAATGTGATAGTAACATCAAACAATATTTACATAAACACTGTAAGTGAATATGACATATTGATAAAGTTACACTATGTTTGATTTTAAATATTTCTTCTGTAATGACCTAACATAACTGGAGTTCAGAGAAAAGCAAACAGGAAATGGACACAGAGTGCCAACAAACTCCTGAAAAACAAAAAGATAAGCTGCTCACTTAAAAGTTTGTGGGATTTTTTGGTAGGATTTTCTTTCTTTTAAAATTAGAGAGAGAAGTACAAAGACCAGTAAAATATCAAGCAATGTGCTTTAAAAGATACACTCACACTCATGGGCGTATCATGATCTTTCAGCTGTTTCCATATAACTTTTGGACAATCAGGAGTTGAAGGACACAGATCCTTACGCGTGATCCATAAAATTTAATGCTTCTGTAATGTGTGACAAGGACTGAAGATACAGTGAAGATAATTTTGAATGGGCTACTTTCACTACAGAGATACCTTTGAGAAAATGTGACCAGCCTCAATTCATATCACTGAAACTTTGTACCATTGCATAGACAGATTTGCACAAATGCATACTGGGAAAAAAAAAAAAAGATACCCATGTTCTTTGATTTTGTTACTGACTAGAATCTAGTTAGGAAATGAAGTACTCTTTTGTCTCTACATCAATCATTTGAGGGCAACAGCCTGAGCCCAGAAGTAAATGTTCTTTACTCAGCTCATGTTTCATTTACTCGTTTTAGCTTACTCGCTTTTCTGCTGTATGATGTAGTGCTCTGTTGGAAAAACCAAACAAACAGATAGACTCTGAATTCAAGCCTGCAAACAACCACCTTTGTCAGAAGTGATATAGAGGAGAACATTTGCTGCACCACATTGTACAAAAGACTGACAAAATGTATGTAATAACCCAGCTTCCAGCGTACAATGCGCTGTGTGATGCTACTAATGTTCAGGAAGTATGGAGGACATAGAAAAGAGATAAGTCAAAGCAGAAACAGGATACCAAAGAATTGAAATAAACAAGAAAATTCACCAAACTATTGCCAAACAGGACATCTATTTGAATAAATGTTTTTTTGCACCTTAAGTTTAAATTAACCAATTTTCATCCGGCTCATTTTCTTCATACAACACTAGATTCAGTAAAGAGTACTATTCATAGTCTTTGAAAAATATTCTATTCTTATTGACCAGAAACAGTTGCCTAGTATTACAGAATTTCTGAAGAAGGAGCACTCATTAGATAATAAAAAGATCATATAAACTCTATTAAAAAAAACAGTTAATAAATATTTAAGACAAGGAGCATACTCCTTTGAGCCTAAACAGTTAATCTAAAGAGAATAAGTAAATCCAAGTTGTACCTGTATTAACTACTTTTTAATTTTCAAAGACAGGTTACTTTATCATTAACTATCTCGAAATCCAATGATTTATCTAGAATTAGCACAACCAGCTTACACTGGAGGTAGAGGTACTCGACAGTCTCATTTTATACCATATCCCAGGCTGAGGTACATTCCAGTGGTAATAAGATATGTGGGGTTTTTGCCACTTAGCATTGTGAGTAGGCTGCAAAGTAATTTCTATGTGCATTTCTTAAAATCAGTACACAGATAGATTGAAATTACTTCCACAACTATTATTGACTACCCAAAAAAGATATCAAGTATAACAAGTATCACCCTTAACATGGAAAGAAAAAAATCCTGTATAGCACTGGTGTATTTTTAATACAAATACAATATAAAGACAGCAATTTTTTTTTCTTTAAGGGTATAAGAATGAATATCAGTAATTGTTAGAAATCAAAAGAACTTTATTTGACAATACATATTCAAAACTAAGTATCTCAGAGGATGATCATAAGTAGATGCAAAGTACCCAACTTGACCACAAGGATGTATTAGAGAACATATATAAGTATATATAACAAGAAACAGATAATATTTAAAAAGATATCAGAATCAATTGTTGTTCAAATACCAAATTGTAGCAGAACACAAATCCCAATCATTATCTTGAGCTTTTGCTCTATATTCATTTATAAATAACCAGCTTATCCTTTTTCTTTGCTGTGAATCATTAATACTAAACAAACAAACAAACAAACGAAAACCTTTAGCATATTCAATAAAATCATAAGTCAGTAACTTTCAGCTAGCAGAAAACATGCTGATAAACTGAAAATAAATGCTGGCTGAGTTACTTGTTTTGCATACTTTCTTAGTGAAACATTTTTGTAAAAGCAATTCCTTCCTTAATAAAAGCCTTTTTAGTTCTACTTTAACTATTCTGCTTTTTGTTCATTATTCAGTTTGTAGTTCTGTATTAAAAGAACTTGAACATCAAGAATAAATACGACTAGACAGTGCTCTGTATCTCTTTAAATTCAGTATTTAAAGCTGTCAAGTCATGACAATTTGAATTATTACAATATATGCCAGTCTATATTGATAGGAGCAAAAACAAGCTTTTCCACTTCAAATTTAGCTATTTTATTAATCTGTTGATTAAGTGAATCTCCTACCAGGCAACAATAGCAGAAGGAAGAAGTCCAATCAGTCCAAGATTCTCTTCCTAAAGAGAAGACAAACATTAATTGTATCATACCTGGAGCTAAACAAGGTTTTCAAACCAGAGAAGCCTAGAATAAAAACTTCTTAATCACATTTAGAATTGTAATGTCCTGCAAGTGCAGAAAAATTCTGCTATCTTTTGAAATGCATACCTTTATAGCTCTATACTGGATATCACACATGGGGGAAAAAGTGAACACGAGAACAGGGAAACAAGCAATTCAAATTCGTGTCTTCAAGATGGTCATTGTATTTTCACAACTCCAAAATATAATCATTAGATCAGACTACTGAATCTTGCTCATCAACAGCAATTGATGCTAATATATATAAAACCATACACATACACACCCATATCAATAGTTAAGTGTGACTATCATTTTTGATGGGAATACATTTAATCCCAGCACCACTAAAGGAATGAGTTATCTGGACACAAGAATTATGCAATTCCAATTTTTTTTTTTTTTCCATTTTCCTTTCCCAATAAAAGTTTAGAAATCCACATGAAATACCCAGCTATGCCACTTAGTACATATGAGGAGGTGGTAGCACCCCAAGGCATCACAGCCACCTAACGCCAGCCTGCAGAAAGGGCAGCAGTGCTACTGCAAGCCCTTGGAAACTTAACTCAGGACAAGACACTGATGTGTCCTCTCCACAATCCTCTCTAACTGTAGGATCCAACTATCATTCTGTTAAATCGTGGCCGAGGAAACAGAAGGAAGAAAAACACCTCTCATACAGCAACCCATTGCTATTGCATGATCCCATTAAACCAAAAAGATTTAAATCAATATATGTCAGAAAAGTGATTCTACCCAACAAGAGATAGGATATTAAAAACAAAGATGACTCTGCTCTGTTCCTGTTAAAGTTGTGCCACTGAGAAGAAAAGGATCCAAAGTCTATAGAGACAGAAATAACATGTGAGATTTATCCCAAAGAATAGGGCATTCAGAAGGAAGTGACATTCTCATTTCTAATTAATACTCCCAAGACAATTTAAATTCATGCTGTCACACTTCAGGATAAATTACTTGGAGAGATGAGACAAGTTTGAAAACTCTCAGATAGAACCACACTGAATCTTCCAGCTCAGACACGTAATTGAAGATAGGTTGTTAAATAAAAAGTTACTCCATCTCATCATCCTTCACATAAATGTGAAAAGCAAGCAGATACACCTAACTTTAAGAACCTCTGAATACAATAGCAGGTTTGGTGGGGCCTGAAAACACTGACAAAGTAGAGTCACTTTGACAACTCAGTTGAAGACTGTACTGGTTGAAGAGTAAGTGCTGAACTGTTCTAGCTGCTGCAGAAGTAAATCCCTAGACAATCTAGGGATATAAATTAAAAGGTCTTCCGACTTCAGGCATCTTCTCAGTTAGGCAGCAGCTGTGTGAGATTTCATAGAGCGCTTTTTAGGACCTTGGTACTTACATTCCTCTTAAAGCTTGCTTTAGGTATGCAAGTCCTTTATTGGATCTGCATATGTCTTTTGCTGATATTTTCAGCTCTGTTTTGCTTTGCCTTCCTTTTATTTTTTCATGGAATCCTTACCTAACATGTAGTTAACCATTTATTCCATCTGTAGTGGCTTTTTTTCTATTCGATAGTGCTATCATAATTAGTAAGTGTAATTAAATCACTTCATGAGTGCCCTATTTCAGAAGTTAGTTAGAAAAGAGTTAGAATTTCTTGAAAAACCCACACTGCAGTACTGCACAAAAATGCCAGAGATAGCTGTAGCTGTCTAGATCTGATAAGCTGACCTTAACATTAAAGGCCCAGCTGCAAAAGCAACTTTGTTGCAGCTCATGCCTAAAAGAGTTTAAAACATACTTCTACTAAAGGCTGTACTGCACAAAGGTCACTACTTGCTTTACTGAAGAAATGCTGAGCTTTTTTGCACTTAGAATTCTGCCTGCCGGAGCTACGTTATTAAAGCTCCAAAAAGTCTGCCAAGAAACAAAGAACAAACTGAAACAAAACTGAGTTGCATCTAAGGATTCATTATTTCTTAGCCACATCTGAAGCAGTTCAAAGATCACTAAGGTCTTCAGAAGTTCAAGATTTTTCTAAGTACAGTTTGATATATTCTTTCTTATATTTGCCTTTTTTTTTTTTTTTTTCCCTAAGAAAGGGCATTAATAGTTTCTTAGCAGAACAATTCACTCTTAGGAACAGTAACATTTAAAAATTTAAAAAGTATGAACATTATTTTACCTAATTGAATCTCCAACTAGTTTTATTTTCTGTACATACCCTAGCAAAATTTACAACAGCTTTAAAGAAATAGAGGGAAAATAGCTGGAAAGCAATTACCACATTTCTGATGAGACAGAGCAACTTTCCTTGGATTAACTACTTTTTCTTGGGATAAACATCAAGAGAGACTGTCAGACACAGCTCCGGATTTCCAGGCATTAAGCTTCAGGCCCACTGCCTGCTACTGCCTGTTCCCTCAGCCTGCGTTGGTTTTGCTTCATTTTGTTTACAGTGCTGTTTATTTCTGAAAACCTTGAATCAAGATTTTATATAATTTACAAGAGGCATAATTAAAGACAAATTAAAACACTATCTTATGGTCATCTTATATTTAATCAGACTGCACACGCTATGTGTACAAGGAATTGCTTACAGAAACATCAAATCAATAGCTTGAAATCACAAGCAATGATTTTACCTCACTGTTTTGAAGGCATGACATTTTGCAGGTGCCCTCCTGAATGAGGACAACCAAGACTTACACAAGCAGTTGTAGAATTCTGCTCTACAGAAGGCAGGGGAAGGACAATCCCTGGAGTCCTTCTTAGAACAGCCCACACAAACTGTGCAACTGCAGGGATATGTGTTGTTGTCTGAAAGTATTATTTATCTCATCCTACAGTGGGGAAAAAAAAAAACCTCGCATGTGTTATTTTTAATCAAGTGTTGGTGGAACTGTGTGTATTATCTAATCTAGTAAAAAGCTGCAGATCTTTTATTCCCCTCTTACATAACCATCACATTCTGATAGTAATGCAGTGAAATATGAGAAAACTGAGTTTTTTCTTGTTCAGTTAGGCATGCCAGTGATAGAATACTGCACCCAAAACTAGGCTTGAAGGAACAAACGTAACTTAAATATGTAAGTATAACCACACTGGATAATAGCATGGTTTAACAAGGCCTAGTATCCCGCTTCCAAGAGTGATCAAAAATGTGCATCTAAAAATTAGGACAAGGTGAACATACAGTCAAATCTGTAATGTGCCACATTCCAGAGATCCGTGTCCTGGGAATTTCCTGACAAGGAAGTGATTAATTTTATGTAAGAGATTCTTTACTATGAACTTCTTTCAACACATCTTGAGCCCAACCCTAATGCGCCATGCTCCAAAATTTTCTGACTTTCCCTACCTGCAACACACTGCTGATGTATTTAACAACACATTTGAAGTCTTAGTGAAATGCTTCAGTGCCTTTCTGCAATCACACAGGACAAGAAAAAAACTTTTTCTATCTAAATCTAGACAGTGTTTTTTGGATGCATGAAGTCCTGAATTTCCAAGAGAAATGAGGACAACTACGAATGTAGAACAGAATGTGTCACAAACATGAGCAGACAGTAAAGGCTTACAGTGACAGTAAGTACTACTCACATAAAGAATAAGCTGTGAAGGAAGATACTAAAGATAGATTTCTAAAACTGGTGGGAGCAGGAGAGTGTCAGGCTCCCTATCAACCCATTCATCCATCCAATCCAAACTCTCGTCTCTCACTGTTTTTAATTGATTTGAAGTGGAGGACAATGGGATAAACCTCTGCTCTTCTGCTCTAAGACACCCCAGTTAGCAAAGGTCTATTTTATTCTTGTAATCTGGGAACAAAAAAAAAAAAAAAAAAAAAAAAAGCTGATTTGAAGCTGACAATACTGTTCAAATGACCAGTGTGAATGTTAACATGTGAACTTTCAAAAAATTCATTGGAAATGGTGAGAGGGGGGTTGTATTTCTACTTTATTATCATCCTAACTCCAGCTTTTCAATGAATTTCCACAACCCCCTGAATGTTGCTCTGTTTTTCTGTTTCCATGGGCAATCTAATCTGAAATGAAACACAAAGCGCTGCTCTCTTTGATGACAATTCACCCTATTTCCTAAAGAGTTTTGTTTGAAATCTCTGCTAGTCTCCCTGTAACTTTGCCCTCACATTTCCTCACAAGCTTAAAAAAGGACCCCAAACCACTGAAACTACCCATGATGATCCAAGCCATTCCACCTTATTCCACCACCATTCAAGTCCACATTCCAAGCACCTTTTACTTTGATCTTCCCTTAGGCTGTTACTTCCTAACTCACTTCGACCATTTTAATGAACAATCACGTTAAGCCTGCTATCTCTCCACATTTAGAAGCCGTTCTCCCTTGATATTTCAACTCCCAAAGCATCTTTTGTATTTGAGTTCAGGAAGCAGAAGGGCACTGTAAACGCAAAGGATGGGCTTGAGAGGGAATCAGTTCCGACAACACAGCCGGACGCCGCGACAAGGACTCCACGCTTTCTTTAGAGGCTAACAAACACGTAGAAACCCAAAACATTCCTCCATCAAAACGGGCTGCGGTTACGCTTTAGGCAGAGATCAGGGACTGCCCAAAAGCACCGGGCTCGCTATTTCACGCTCCCGAAAAACTGGAGATGCTCTGCACCGACCGGCAGTTCCGGCATTACCTGACCAGCGACCGCATCGCCCCCCCCTACAGGCACGATACACAGCCAACAAAAAGCGTTCGAGAAAATCGGCTGCTCCCCGTCGCACCGCCCCCAGCAGCACTGCTAGCGCCCGACCCTCACCGGAGCTGGAGACGCTCCGAGGAGCGGCAGCGCCTATAGGAGCCGCAACCCGAGGCCACGGGACCGACCCCTTCTCCAGCAGCCGCCCGCACCCCCCATCCCGCTCCCCTCCGCGAGGGAACAGGGCTGTGGGCGATACCCAACGCTCGCTCCCTAACGGCCGCACGCGCCCACCCACGCGAGCCCGCCCCCCGCCTGACTCACGCCCAGTCCACCCGGCGCCAGCCCCGCCCCTCCCACCCTGTTACGGAACGCGCGCGCGGCGCGGCGTTTTGTAACGGCCTCGCTCCCGCCCCTGGAGCGCCCACCAATGGCGAGCCGGCCCGGCCATCAGCTGACGCGGTCCTTTATGTAAGCGGCGGGGCGAGGGCGCGCGGAGACGTTTGAAAGGGGCGGGAGCGGGGTGGGGCAGGGGGATCGCACACGTACCCGCGCCCCCTTCTGCCCCGGGTCGCGCGCGCGGAGGCGCGCACGTGACACGCCCCCCCCGCCTCGCGCGGAGGGTGCCTCGCTTCCTCCCCCGCCCCGCGCCGCCAGTGCCTCAGCGCCTTGCGCAGCGCCGGGCCCGGCGGCCGGAGCGGCAGCGCCACACCCCCCTCGGCCGAGCCGGCAGCCGATGGCGTTCTCTCCCGTGGCCGTGGGCTCGGACGCGTCGCCGGAGCCGGGAGGCGGCGGGCGGCTCGGCGAGGAGGCGGACGGGGAGCGGAGGGGCCGCCTGAAGGAAGCGGCGGGCTCCTCGCTGGCGTCGCTGTGCCTCGGACCGCTCGCCGGCCCGCGGCGCTTCGGGACCCTGGTGGAGTGCCTGGTGCTCAACTACCGCCTGCGGCAGGGGCCGGGCCGCGGCCGGGAGCGCGGCGCCGAAGGCGCGGCCGAGGGCCCGCTGCGGTGCTGCGGCTGCGGGCGCTTCCTGAGCGAGCCGGTGACCGTCCCGTGCGGGCACACCTACTGCCGCCGCTGCCTGCGGAGGGAGCTGCGGGCCCGCTGCCGCCGCTGCCGGGACCGGCTGCTGCCGGCGGGGGGCACCGGCGCGGCCGCCGCCCCGCTGCGCACCAGCGTGGTGCTCAGCCAACTGGCCGAGAAGTGGTTCCCGAGAGAGTGCGAGCGGGCGCGGGCCGGCGGGCGCCTGGAGGAGCTGCTGGCGCAGGGCCGCTTCCGAGAGGCGCTGGGCGCCGCCGGGCAGGCGCTGCGGGCAGGTGAGCCGGGGCGGAGGGGGGGAGGCGGCGTCCCGTCTCCTGCGGGAGGGACGGGGAAGGAAGGATGCGCCCGGCGCGCCGCGTCGCAGCGCTCCGAAGTTTTCCAAGTTTGTCGCTAGGGCCCAGGGAGCCTCCCCGTGGGCCGAGGTGCGCTCCGGTGCCTCCTTCCCGCCGCGCTGACCGGGCTCGGTGCGTCCCGTGGCGGCCTCGCCCGCGTTGCCGCGTGTAACCCCGTTTCCTGACAGAGACCTGTTTCCAGTGTCACCGCACCGCTCCGGAGGGCCGGGCCCGGTTGCATAAGCGCGAGGCACGGCGGGGACAGGTTGTGTAACGGCGGTGACATCATGGCGGGCGGAGCCGCGCCCCGTCTGGTGCCGGGCGAGGCTGCGGGGGGCGGGCGGGGCCGCCGGGCGGACCGCGGTACGGCCGTGGCTTTGTGCGCCCTGCGGGGCTCGGCCCGGGGGCCGATACACCTGGGTGGTGCTGGCACAGCGACCCGCTGTGTTGGTTTTGCGCAGCTGTGGGTTTTTAGCGCTTCGGCAGCCCCGCGGGTCCCATTTCCTATTGTAAATGTTGGAACTGTTGGAAGAGGTTGAGTTGTTGTTGTTGTGGCGTGTTCTGAAGTACAGCATTGACTTACGTGGGTCATAGGGAAATTTCTTGAAACACGTGAAAGAAGTTACTTTTGAGAAGCACGAGAGGAATGGTAACACTATATGTGTGCTATGCAGGCGTTGGAAGGAATTACCTTATGTAAAGGAAGGCTTTAATCCCAACACACCCAGCTTTCTGTCCCGAGATTGGTGCAGTCACAAACCCGTTCCTGCTGGAGCAGCCTTAGGAGGTCTGTTGACCAACTCTGTGTTCAAAGCAGGGCAGACACTGAGTTAGAGCAGTTTGCTGGAGGCTTTGTCCTGTTGGACCATGAAAATGCCACAAGGGCGAAGATTCCGCTGCTGCTCAGGACAACCTGTTGAACGGTTAATTACCATCATAGTGAAACATTTTCTGTTTACGTAAAGGCAAAACTACTGTTGTTCTGGTTTATAACCACTGTCACTTGCTTTTCCTGCCGTGCACGTCAGCGTCTGTGATCTAGGCAGCCTCTTCTGGGATTTCAGGAGGCTCTTGGATTCTTTTGCTGCCTCCAATGTTTCCTCACTAAACAAGACCAGTGAGCTCAGCCTCTTCTCAGGCGTATGCACCCTTCACCATTGGAATGAGCCTGTCGTACTGCATTCATAAATACTGGATCCTGCAGTTCTTTTGAACACTGGTGCAGAGTGCATCTTTTACCAGGTGAAACCAGGCAACCAGGTGAAAATCATGTAGGATCAGATCAGAAGCAATCCATTTATGATATTCTCATGCTGACAGTAGGCAGAAGCAGATGCTTTGAGAGTAGCATAAAGAAGTGAATGCTTACCTGGTGTTTTTTGTATGTAAACTTTTGTACAGTTTTCTATTTGTGTGCAGTAATATCTGGTGCACACATTTCTGCACTGAAGATATTCAGTACCCTTTTGTTTTTAATTGCAGTAATTTCTATTGGTATGCTAGGAGGGAGTGGTCTCTATATAATATATTGGGCTGTTAAAAATTGACTGTTCAAAGTATTTCTGATTTGTTTAATATCTGATATAAGGAATTGAAATATGAGGGCTGCTCCAAAAGTACTGCCTCCTGTTTCACTTTGTTGGCCCATGATGTCAGAAGCAGATGATGATATGGCAGTAGAGGTTGAACCATCCCACCAATACTCGATTGCATTTTGTTGCCATGCAATAGATGACAGAGCATGCTGAATGTTTATAGAGACCAAACATTGGATGTCAGCACAGTGAGGCAGTAGCTGGTGCATTTCAGCAAATGACATCAGCAATATGAAAGACAAACCCCATTCTGGATGGCTATGGAGATTTTTAGGAGTGCAGCGTACAGGCTCTTGTTTGGTGCTGGTGAAAATGCATAGCTAATGGTGGTGACTGTGTCAAAAAAAAAAATAGTGTTCTGCAGCTGAAAATTTACTGCTACTGTACTTGTTGTGAGTGTTCTAGCTTCCATGGAAATCAATAGGCATTACTTTTGAAGCAGTCCATATAGTTTTACGTTGTCTTGTTAAGTGGCAAGCATCAAAATGCATTCTGCAACATTGTAAAACTTTTTTTTTTTTTTTTCCCCACATTACAAAGCCTAGGAATTAAATTTTCATTTTAAAACACTCTCAGACATTAAACTCCTTGATTTAGAGCTTAATTTTGTAGCAGTTCAGTTTCTCTTTGATAAAGAACAAACTATCCACCAGCTCTAGACTTAACATATATTTTTATCTTCAGACTACCCCTAACCCCACCTTCCTGAGGAAAGCTTGGGGCTCCTGAGATCATCTTCTACACTTGAAAGTTTGGAAAATATGAAATCCTTCTGATCAAGTGCAAACAGGCTGCTAGTTTATTACAGAACAAAGACCCCCACTCACTGTTGCCTCTGAAGAAAGGAATTTAGGTCAATATTGACTCTGCTGGACACCAAAAAGTCAAACACAACAGAAAAGAACTGAGCTCCTGCCTTAGGAGGCTACAGTAGTCACAAAGCCACAAGAAAGCAGGCATCAGCGTTCTTACACCTGCAGGGTTACGTGTTAAGTTAGACAATTTCACCAATTTCTGTTAACTGTCTAAAACAGAGAAACAGATCTAGGAGTATATGTATTTTAAGGGAAACTGAACTATAGCTGAATCACACACTTCATTTTCATCCATGAAATCTGTTGACAGTTTTTGTTTACTTACCATTTCTTTTTTGTTAAAGTCTTTACCTGTGATAGCTAAATATAAAACAGTATGTTAAAATATTTGGGTTCATTGACTGATCTGGCTTGCTGCTAAAGCAGACTTATGTGTAAAACAAGCTAATGTTGGAGATTACGAGAACTTAAACTAGGCATTTAGGGTAGACTAAAGACAGAATATAGAATTGAAATGATTTCTCTGCACCCTTCCAAGGGAATCTTGTTCCAACAAGCTTACAGAACTTAATTTGAGTATTGTTTACGTTACATTAATGTTTAACTTATTTATTTTGGTGAAAAGCACAGGTGTGCAGTTAGCTGTGTTATGAAAGTCATAGTTTAAATGACATGGAGATTGAGATTCCTCTGCTGAAAGTCCAGAATGCTGCATTTGGGACATGAGAATTTGTCTTTAAAGAACACGCATGAATGTTTTTTCTCTGTGGAGGTGATTCTAACACAACTATTTAGAGGGAGGCTGCCAGCTGGCATCAGTGGCTTTCTGGTGTTGGCTATCTTTTCAGTCCATGTAGGGGTATAGACTATCTCTGATAAATCATCAGGTGCTAACACTGTCTGTAGCTGGCAGGGGCTGGGCATTAACAGAACAAAGGCCAGTCTAAATAAAAAGTCAAACGTTTGAAAGGAAGCTTTCTAATACTTAGATATTTTAATACTTGAGATTCACTGTGCTTGAAAAATGACAGATTTGTGTGGTTTTGCATGAGTGTACCATAAAACTAAAATCAGCTCTGTTCTCTACTTCTGTTGTCACAGCAATATTGAGCAATACTTTATTTTGTCAGCTTTGGTGCTAAATCTTTTAAAATATAAAAGGGTTCAAAAGTTAATCTTGGAAGACATAAGCTTGGAAGTATTGCCACTTTTTTTTTTAAATCCAAATACTGGTGAAAAGGCAGGAAGGAGGTACCTCAGTTGTTATAAGGTACAGTACAGAAGAGCGTATTAAATGGTTTTGTACAGTAAGGCTTTGACATACCACTATAAAACATCTAATTAAAAAATTACAACATTCCAAATTATTAAAGATGTTATTTAATTTTGTCTTCAGATTCCAGTAACTTGATGCTAAGAATCTACAGAGCTGAGTCATACGCTGGCCTCCAAGAGTATAAAACAGCCATAGAAGATCTAAACTTCGTTATTTCTAAAATGCCAAATTGGCCAGAGGTAAGTTGATTTGAACTCCTAATTTTTCAAAATCTATGTTTATCTGTAAACGTAACACATTTTGCATAATCTTTTCATCGAATGAAGCAAGGTCAGCTGCCTTAAACACTTGGTTTTCTTGTTTTTCTTTGTAAGTATGTGCAAAGTGCTCAAAAGTTTCTTAAAATAGT